CAAACAGGTGTGAAACTCACGGTACCTGATTTTCGCCTTGGGCTGTATATTTTGTACAGGAATGGCGATTTTAAAGAGAACTGCAATACAAGCATTTCTTATATGATACTAACAATACGTACTCGGTACGATAACTAGTTTCATTATATATATAACCGAACTTTTTTTGAGAAGGCAATTAACGCGGAAAATTAACCTGGTAAGAATTGCAACGGTCACTGGTGTACGATCAGAGTTGTACGATGTCTATATAAAGACCTAATTGTCCGTAACATAATTTTGAAAAAGAGTTTATGAAATATTCCAGAGATCGTTTTTCACTAATTTCTGTATTTAAATAGTAGTCACTCACTTTTCTGGAAATGGTACACATATTGTTGAATTCTCGTTATTTTTAGAGGAATAGAAAATTTCACATACATCTGATTAACAGAAAGTAAAAATAGAACGTAGAACAACTTGGATTTCCCTTCGTTTGAGAAATAACACAGTTTTTCTTAGACTCTCTGCCTTAAGTTCATTTTTGTTTTTACTCCATTCTCTTATCATTGATAGTTAGCAACTTAGATTGGGGAAATCTTACTGAAGCAACGAATTTCAATTTTGTGATATAGGTTCGATCTGGTTTACCTGTACTTTTTTTGTTTCCTGAAAAACGTTAGAAATTATCTTATTTATTATAATACATATCTATTGTAATAGTCGAAATGAAATAAATGTACATTTATACAAATATGGTAATCGATGCTGGTTATCACTTTTGTTGAGCACGTGTGAGGTTTTCAAAAGTAGTTTCCTAATTATATTCCATTTGTATTTGTAATTGTATATGTATTATTATTTTTAAACGGAAGAAATGAAGTTTATAGCATTTGGTTGGAACGCTGGCATTGAAAGAAACGTGAGATCAACAGATACGGCGGCGGCATTTTATATTATTATAAACGTTTTTGTGTGAAATGACATTCGTTGGAATTTTATTAAGTATTGATAATACATAGTTTTAACACATATCAGGATCATTTTGACACTATACCAACGTATGAAAATGGATCACAACGTTAGTTTGAATTTTTATAAAAACATCGACAGATTCTGTGGATCAAATCTAAGGACCGGCATGGACTTAATGCGATTGTTTTTTTT